GCGTATACGTTTATGTGTAGTGTGGGTGCGGATGTACAAATCTGTTTTTCTGTGTGTGTCTGTGTCTGTGTCTGTATTCTGTCTGTATCTGTGTGTCTGTGTGTCTTTGCTTGTGTACCTATCCAAGTCGATGCGCATCTTAGTTTTTCTGCTGCTATTTATTTGGGCTATCGCAGCACGACATCCTCTAACCTCATACACCCTCTTCACCTTTCTTGGTCGACAGTATTGGATGTGGAGCAGGAGTGGGTCTTCGGGGCCATGCGCAAAGAAGAGGAAACTTTGGGGTCTTATATCATGCCTGCGTCTGGCTATGTAGATAACTTGCGGATATACAATGTACGCGAGATTTACTGAGAGAGTTTACTATACACACATATGTTTTGTGCTATGTAACGTTTAGATTGGTGTTCTATACACACATATGTTATATATTATGTAGCGTTTAGATTGGTGTTCTGTACACCCATATGTTTTGTGTTATGTGACGTTTAGATTGGTGTTCATCGTTGTATATGAGTATTCGTTATATTTATATGTAAGTTTGCCACGAGGGACCAGGCGAGTCCGTCGCACATAGTGTCTGTGATTCTGTTTGTGTAGAGTTGGTTAGAGTTTTTTGGGTTTTATTTGCGTAGAGTTGGTTTGAGTTTTTTGGGTTTTATTTGCGTAGAGTTGGTTCGAGTTTTTTGGGTTTTGTTTGCGTAGCGTTGGGTTTTGTTTGTGTAGAGTTGAGTTGAGTTTTTTGGGTTTTATTTGCGTAGAGTTGGTTTGAGTTTCCTTTAAGTTTCTAATATGCAGATCCAGCCAAAGCTTGCGCATAGGCCTATTGCAATATCACCAATTGCCTCTATTTTCAGACGACTAACGTGTGGCTGAGTCAGTGTTCATACATTTCAGCCAGGCAGTGTTACTTTCTCTTTGTTCTGAGAGTGCCGTTGTTGTATCATCATAGACTCGAATGTGTGTTAACCTATTGCATGCACAGGTGACTAGGACTCAGACCGAGATCATGAAACCCTAAAACCCCTAACGACAACCATGGCTTTACTCGAATGTGTGTTAACGTATTCCATGCACAGGTGACCAGGACTCAGACCGAGATCCAAGCCAGCATGTTCGGTGCAGGGGTGATCTGGGAGGACATCACAGTCAACGAGAGTGCATGGCTCACGCAGCAGCAATACGCACAGGCCCTAGACGACTGGCAAGGCAGCTATATGCAGGTGTTTCTACCGCAGCTGAGCGAGGAAGCCACCCAGAGCATCCTGGTGGGGTGGCCCAAGGTACGGTGTGAGCGGAGATGTACTTCGGTGGATGTTTAGCGGTACTGTACATATGTTTGGGTTCTTTTCGGGTGGGTGTATTTGGGTGGGTGTGGGTGTGGGTGTGTACGTGTGCGTGTGTGTGCGTGTGTGTGCGCGTGTGTGTGGGTGTGTGCGTGCGTGTGTGCGTGGGCCTTTGTGTTTGTGTGTGGGTGTGTAAAGATGTATACATGCATACAACCATGTGTACACATGGTTTTACCTGTACACAAACATACCACACCCATAACCCACGCCCCCAATCAACACCTCCACAGGCCTGGACTGCAGCTCAGAGGAGAAAGACGGGTCTTATTCAATCCTTTGACTTCAATGAAGACCCGTACATGCTAGCTGCGTCGCCTAAATACACAAACCTAGTCAATGCCAGCCCTTCACAGTACAACCCCGACTCAATGTCGTCAGAAACCTCGCCTTTCCCGCTCCGGGGCAAACTCTTATACGCGTATGTAGGACGTAAACCAAACCCTTTTTTTCAACTAGTGCAGGGTTTGAATGGTAGTCCAGGGTTTCAATTCTTTTGCAGGGTTTCAATGGTAGTCCAGGGTTTAAATGTTCGTATCCACAGGTTTCTAGCTACAGCTTTTTGTTGTATTATAACACTCGCGCTGTTAGTGGTCTTTGTAGCATGTAGCTTAGTGGTTTTATCGCCACAGTGTGCGTCCTGTGGTGGCCTCGTTGTCCTGAGTCCTACTGTCCAAAAATCGGGTTTTCCCTGAGAATCAGGTGCAGGTCAATAAGCACTGGTGTGCTACAGTAGACATAGTCTCACCCTTATCCTCCGTTGGGTTGGTACACATATATGGGGTATGTGCACAGGTCTGTTATAGTCAATACCGTTTTAGAGCTGGATCTGTTCGGCAATCTGAAAGACGTAGATGCACCCAGGTGGTACATGATGATGAACGTACTGAACGATAAGGGGTACTCAGAACCCGGAAGTATGTCACCTACTTGTGCTTCTGTACCTATGTGTGCATATTTCTATATATGAATATGTATGTATGTATGTATGTGTATATATTTATATTTA